CTGGACCAATAAACTATATCATGATAAATGGAGAAAAGATTGAAATGGTCAAGGAGTTCATTTTACTTGGATTCACAATCAACACTCATGGAAGCCTAAGTCAAGAGGTCTAATGACAAGGAAGCGGTGATCCCAGAGATGGAGGCAGGGATGACGATGCAGAGAGATGGCACCACTGGGGACTTTGAACCGGGAGAGGGAGAGGGCTTGTGTGCTGACAACTTGGGGGCAGAGGGGGAGCAGGCTTGCGGGGTATACCCTATGGTTGGTGGATGATGCATGGAGGGGATTGTAACCATGGCAAGGAAACGATATACGATGGGATCAATGTGAAGCTAATGTTCTCCCATGCAAACTATCACATAACTCAAAATAAAGCATCCTAAAAAAAAAAGAAAGAAGTCTAATGACTTATTGCATTGGGCAAATCTGCTGCAAAACACCTCTTTAAGGTGTCACTTTGAGGTCAAAGGTGTATTAGTCCAAGTCATTATATTCCCAATGTCTCATATGTGTGTGGTAGTTGGACAATGACTGTGGAAGACCATAGACAAATCAATGTATTTAATCATGGTTTTGGATTAGAATGTTGAAATTACCTTGGACTGCCAGAAGAACAAACAAACCTGTCTCAAAAGTACAGTCACAATGCTCCTTGGAGTTGAGGATGGTGAGACTTTGTTTCTTGTTCTTTGGACATGTTGTCAACAAGAATTGGTCCTTGGATAAAGATATCATGCTTAGTTAAGTAGAGGGTCAGTGAAAAAAAGGAAGATCCACCAGGAGATGGATTGACACAGTGACAACAACTGGCTCAACCACAACAATTTTAAGGATGACCCAGGACTGGGCAGTGGTTCTTTCTGTTGTGCAGCATCAATATGAATTGGAACCCACTCAATGTCACCTAATAATAACCCACAACTCAACCATTTAAAGTGTACAATTTCATGTTTTTTTTAGCATACTCAGAGCTGTACAACTATCATTATTGTATTTTAGAACATTTTTATAACCCTAAAAAGAAACCTGGTGTGGTGCTGTAAGATAAGCAATGGACCACAAGTTTGGTTTGAACTGTAAGGTCACTGGTTCAAGCTCACCAATCGCTTCTCGGAAACCTTATACGGGTTAACCATGAGTTGGAACTGACTTGACAGCAATGAACAACAACAGAAAGAACCCTTGCACCATTTAGCAGTCAACTCCGTCCTCCCATCCCTATTGTTGCTAAATGCTGTTGAGTCAGTTCCAACTCATAACAACCCTGTATGGAGTTTCCAAGGAGAGACTGGTGGGTTTGAACCGCTGACTTTTCGGTTAGCAGTCCAGTGCTTCTCCTACAGTTCCACACCAAGACTCCACCTCTAGACCACTACTATTTGCTACCTCTATGGTTCACCTATTTTGGATATATCCTATAAAGGGAATAATAGAACGTTTGTTCTTTTGTGACGGGGTTACTTCACTTAGCATAGTATTTTCAAGGCTCATCCATTTTGCATCTTGTGTGGGCATTTCGTTCCTTTTTATTGAGAATAACAGCCCATTGTATGGCGATACCACATTTGTTTATCCAGTCCTCATTTGGTGGACATTTGGGTTGTGTCCACTGTTGGCTATTATGAATAATGCTTTTATGAATGTGCCATCATTACGTCATCAGTCTTGTTCTCTGAAAAGAACTTGTTCAGAAGATCTTTTATGGTAGTTGTGAGAGATGCAGTGTTAACTCTGCCCATCACACCTGTGCACCGAGCAAGGCAGGGGTGAGGTGGGGCACAGGAGGCAGAGAGTGGTCCTCACTCTTGGCCTACAGGCAACAGATGTCTCTTCCTTCCCTCTCTGGCTGTCCAGGTAAGGTGGTTTGGGGCAGGTCCTCCAGGTTGGACACAGTCACCGTAGCACTCTCCCTTTTGTTGGGCGTGCACTACTGCAGATGGCAGTGGCCAGAGACAGCCTTGCAAGTTATACCTGTGGCTGGCCCAGTCCGGTTTGCCCTCCCCTCACCACTTGGCCTGCATCCTAGAGGCCTTTGTTTGTGCCTCCACCTGCAGACGACTGTTCTCTCTTCCACACTGAGACTCTGGGAAGGCTTGCTGAGGTCTCTGGGCACTTAGGAGCTGACACGAAATGCAAGCACCCCTATAAAAAGACTTCTGGCCCTGGATTGTTCTGGATTGCTCTAGCAAAGATGTTGTCTCTCAGGGTGAGATCGGGAACAGCCCTCCACCCTTCAAACCATAGGGCTCCTTGTAGCCCACTTTGTCTCCACCTTGGCCAAGAGACATTCCAGGAACCAGGGAGCGAGGTAGTATGAGCAAGAGGAGCTGGATTTCAGGAATGGTCTCTGGGTCGCTGTTTTGTGCTCCTTAGCCTGTCAAAGCCAGTTCAGGAATAGGCTTTCTCCTCTGAGCCCCCCACTCAGGTCCTTCTGAGAATAGCGTAGGGGAGGGAAGTGAGGGCCACTGGCTTTCTCTTCTCCTCAGGGCTGCAATACCAGTCTGTCCAGTTCCCTCCCTCTTTCTTTCCGCCTTCTCTCTTCCTGGCTTGGCATTTGGCCCATCCCCTTCTCCTTTTGGACTCTTGGTGTGGTGTTGTAGGATAAGCACTAGACTGTGAACCACAAAGTCAGTGGTTCAGTGGTTTAAACCCACCAGCTGCTCCTCAGAAACCCTGCACAGAACTGACTCAACAGCACTCAACAACATCAACAAACAACTACTCCTTTTGGTCACTGGATGAAGTCTCTCAGTGTTGCTGGTGGTGGTTGGCTATGCACCATGGATTTGGTTTCGACTCACAGTGACTCTGTACAGGGTTTTGAAGGTTGTAAATCCTTATGGGAGTAGAAAGTCTCATCTTTCTCTCAAGGAGCAGCTGGTAGATTTGAACTGCTGACCTTGCAGTTAGCAGGGGAGAAGGTGGCAAGCATTTGAGAAAACTGAAACCAAACCAAACTCATTGTTGTCCAGTCCATTCTGATTCATAGTGCGACCCCAGAGGGCAAAGTAGAAATGCTATAAACTTTACAGCAATAGATTGCCACATCTTTCTCCCATGGAGTGGCTAGTAGGTTTGAACTGCCAAACCTTCAATAATGGTCAAGCACTTATGCGCTGTGGCAACAGGACTCCTTTTGGTGAAAAAATGAAGCATTGTTTAAAGGAGCTGGAATAGAGCTGGGTGTAAGCAGCTGCTACCTGGATTTTCCTCTGCCTGGTTCAGCACACTCAGGAGGACCCTTCCTAAAGAAGGGTGAGGCGAGGAAAAAGAGGAATGTGACAAAGCACTGGACCGGAAGGTTGTTTTGAACCACAACGTTGACAGTTCAAACTTACCAGCCGCTCCTTGGAAATCCTATACAGGGTCGCTATGAGTCAGAACTGACTCGACGGCACACAACAACAACAACAACAACAACAAAGATGAGTTGCCTTGGGGTCCTCTCTGAGTTTCTGGATTTATTTTTCTGGAAGGGTCTTCAAAATGTGTCCCTTTATGTGTATGTGTGTATATGAGCTTGTCTCTGTGTTTGCTTCTTTGGATTTGTGTCAGCTCCCCAAAGAAGGGAGACTATCTCTGGATAGGGTCATGTGCCTAGCCTTATGGGATCCTGATGTCTCTCCTGGAGAAGGATGGGCAACAATCAGTACATTTGCCCTCCTAATAGGTGGTCGCTTGCTTTTCTGGGCTAGGGGCTGTGTGTCTGTCCCTCTTCCCCAGTGATCTGGGTGTCTGTCATTGTTAGTTGCTCCTGTTAAAATTCATCCAGTCCCCGCCTCAAGCCCTGCAGCACCTTTCAGAGACTCTAGCCCCAGCCATAAGGTAATTGCAGCTGGAATGTCTACCTTGGGGACCTAAACCTCCTGCCTTTTGCCCACAACATGCACCTACAGCTACTCCACCCAGCCCCACCCAGGCCCTGGGTGCCTTGCTCAACTCCCTATTCTACAACATCTTACAGGTGTGTGCTGTGCCCCAACCTGCTCTCCTGACTCACTCTGGTAATGGGTTCAGGGAGACAGGTGCACGGACGCTTTCCTTCATCTCTGGCCATTTGGGGGCCTTGGAAAAGAAGGAGGGTCTGTGTGGCTGCAGACTGGCTCAACATCCACGGCATCCCACTCCACGCCACCCCACTTCCCATGATCCTTTCTCACTTTTGGTTGTTTAGTCTGGGAGCTATGGGAATGAGAACATTGAAGACCCTCAACTGAGCCCTTCTTCTTATATTTCCCTCTCCCCTCCCTGCCTCCTCCGTTCTTCCATCTCTGTTCCCTTCAGCAAGGTTTACTGTGTCAGGTCTGGATGGGGGATCAGGAACCTTGGAAGGAAAGGAGGGCATTGGGTTGTGTCCAGGAAGACCGCTGTCTTGAATCTCACACTATCTTACATCCAGAGGGAAAATAGCCAGTGTGTATCTGTGTGTCCATTCATTCATCCTGCAAATACGTGCTGGTCTCTTTTGGGGACCTGGCATGGTACCAGGTGCAGAGGAGAAACAGGCAAAGGCTGACTTCAGGCTCAGGTTTCACATGTCCAAGAGCCCTGTGATTAGCTAGGAAGACCCCATAAGCCATCAGAGTGGGGAGAAGAACTCTGGTGAGGTGTCGGTGCTTAGCGGCTCCCCAGATGCCAGGGGGTTCCTTTCCTGCTCTGTTTCCCAGTTCTTTAGTTTTTATCTCCCATAGGAGGGAAGGGGACCAAAACCAGGAGTCAGGCTTTCAGTGGCTAGGGATCCAGGACAAGTCTCCTTGATATGGGGAAACTAAGCCTGTTTGGGCCGGGCATATTCCTTCCGGTTTCACATGCACGGAATGTCTTTCCCGGGTTCTGGGGGCAGTGCTGGAGTGGGCCCCTGGGTGGGAGCAGCTCTCTGCTGCCCCCACCTGAGTCCTGTCTGGTGGTGGCAGGTGTCGAGTTAGGCCCAGCCCCTTAAGGGCCTAGCCACTCAGGTAGAGGCCGCTCCCCTGCCCTTGGGCTGGGCTTTCTTTTATAAAGGGCGGTAGCTGGGCTCTGTCCCCCCACGTAGAAGCAACTTTTTGGCTCCTTCTCCAATTTCTGTCTCGTTCTACTGCTTGCTGCCTCCTCTTCAGCCTCCACCATGTCCATCAGGGTAACCCAGAAATCCTACAAGGTGTCCACCTCTGGCCCCCGGGCCTTCAGCAGCCGTTCTTACTCAAGCGGACCTGTCTCCCGAATCAGCTCCTCCTCGTCCTTCTCCCGAGTGGGCAGCAGCAGTAGCAGCTACCGGGGTGGCCTGGGCGCTAGCATGGGTCTGTCCAGGAGCTATAGCGGGGTAGGAGGTATGGGGGGCATCACGGCCGTCACGGTGAACCAGAGCCTGCTGAACCCCGTTAAGCGGGAAATGGACCCCAACTTCCAGGCCGTACGCACCCAGGAAAAGGAGCAGATCAAGACCCTGAACAACAAGTTTGCCTCCTTCATCGACAAGGTGAGGGTTTCCCCTGCATGAGCAGCTGTGCCCACCACCCTAGAGGGTCTGCACACCCTCTCTCTTGACCTCCTTGTCGGTGGGCACATATCCAGTTCCTTCACCGGCGACCTCTGGCCCCACCCACCCTGGGAACGCTCTTCCAACTGATGACTCACTTCTCCCGCACTTTTGTTGGGTCTGGGACAGGGATGGGGAGAGGGTCCGGATGGCTTGCGACTCTGAATACTGGGGCTTCCTCCCTCCCTCAAGCTATTTCCAAGTCGTGCTCGATAAAGTTTGCATCCCGGAATAGTCCCAGCTTTTAAGCTGTGGGGTGGGAGCAGAGCCCCCTTCTCCAGGTTCACTCTTCACCCCTAGACTGCTGCTCTGTGCTGTCCATTGCTTTTTTTTTTTTTTTTTGAAATAGTTGTTTGAAATTCCAGGAGAAGGAAGAGGGTGTCTTGAGTGAAAAGGGCAAATATTGATTGAGGCTTTTGGTGTCCTAGAACCTACGTGTGGGGGACACACTGAGTCATAGATTGGCCCCTGTCCTGGGAACCAGCAGTGTTGTGAGGGGCTGGGCGGGACCGAGTCCTGCCCCCTACTGTTGGCTTTGGGACGCCCTCAGTCCACCTGGCGGAACTCTTAACGCCTGGGGGTGGGTGTGTGTCAAGGGTGGAGTGTCAAGGGGTGGAGGTGGGGGAGACGCCAGAGATTGACTTAAAAAAAAACAACACAAAAAGATTCAAAGTCTGTGGGCGTTGGACACACCACCCGGCTGTAGGCCCTGTGAACCCCCTGAGTTTATGGCTTCAGATAACGCGTCCTGACAACGCCCCTCTTTCCATTTGGCCCTTGTCCATTTTGCTCTTCCCTATCCTGCTCCGCCTCAAAGATCAGGCTCCACTCTGACAAAGAAGGCGCCAGGCCGGGTTTTGGAGCCTTAGGGGCCCCAGGGCCCCCAAGAACGGGGAGGATAGAGCTCCTCCTGCCGACGAGTTTTTGGGAGGCCTTGTGGGAAAGGAAGGAGGGAAATCCTGGGGCAGACTACAACCCATAGGAATTGGAGTCCCCCCAGGACACCTACAACTTCCTGGTTCTTTAAAGAGTGCTTGCGGATTGCTTGCACTTTAGATTGTACGTCTTGACCACGCCGTGCTAGCTCTGGGCTTCTTCCAGTTAAGCACGACCTCTGAAGTCTGAATTCAAGTTTATACCTGATTCCTCAGTTTCCTTGTTAAGACTGATATTTCTTATTTATAATATAGGCATGATGTTTCCTAGATTAATTAGTTATTTCCTATTCAAGTGCTTAGTAATACTTGGCTCATACTAGATAAGCTCTTAGGGCTAGCAGTTGTCATCACTTACCATTTTTATTATTGGAAGACAAAATAATCTGGAGAAGAAAAAATTTTTTAGAGAGAGGGGTTGTGGACTTTAGACTTCTCTCTCAAGTCCACCTACTTCGGAAAAAAAAGAGAGACAACTTTCAGTTGGTTAAAAAACAAAGCCTGAAACACTCCCTATCTTGGAATTCTTTTGTTGTTCTTTCTTTTATACTTTTTCTCATTTAACATTCCCTAATTTCATCCTTAAATCTGGATTCTTTGAGGCTGCAGACCCAGGATCCTTGTGTTTGGGACCAGCGGGGAGAGTTGTGGATTCAGGATAGAGACTTGAGACCCCTCCCAGGCCCTCTTTGCTTTTTGGACAGTCTCCAACAGATGCTGAAGAATCTGAGAGTGCTGTGGGGAGGAGGGAGGAGCCTTCAGTTTTCTGGCAGGTCTCTTACCTTTTTCCAGCTGAGAGTGACTTTTTTACATAAATGAGAGTGACTTTTTTTACATAAATTGAGTTCCTCCAGGCCATTGCAAGGTAGAGAAGGCCATGCTCACAAAGGGGAAGCAACTCAAGGTCATATGTAGCACAGATTAGTAGCAGTGTTCCTAGGACCTCGGCTTCCTGTCCAGTGCTCTTTGAACAAAGCTTTGGATCCTGGTGTGGTGCTGTGGGTTAATGCGCTGGACTGCAAAGTTGGTTTGAACCGCAAGGTTGGAGGTTCAAGCTCACCAGCTGCTCCTTGGAAACTCTATGAGTCGTGATCAACTTGATGGCACTAAACAACAACAAAATAATCTCTATGAGTCCCCTGAAGTCTCTCTAAATAATAATGATTTCTTAATTTGAACAATCTACATTTTCTTTTGTAAATAAAAGCTTCCTTAGAAAATTTGACTATTTTTATTGATGTGCGATAGACAATCTGGAGTCCTGGTATGGTGTTGTAGGATATAAACACTGGACCGCAAGGTTGATTTGAACCTCAAGGTCGGCAGTTCAAGCTCACCAGTGGCTCCTCGGAAACTCTACACAAGGTCGCTATAAGTCAAAACAGACTCAATGGCGCTTAACAACAATAGACAATCTAAGTAAATATGACCTGTTTGTTATATGAACACAGTTTTCAATATAAATCCCCTAACTTCCCCCTTCTAACCAGACTTCCTACCACCCTCATGTTATCTCCCCCAAGTTATAGACTATCCTCCCCAAACAACTAATGTTGTTGCTGGGTACCAGGGACCTCACTGCTTAGAGAGTGGGGTAGAGGAAGAGATGGAATTGACAGAATTCCAGTCAGTGCTCGTTGCCCCTCCAGAAGCTGAGCCCGGGCTTTATGTGGACCTCCTTGCCCACTTCCCTTTGCAGGTGCGGTTCCTGGAGCAGCAGAACAAGATGCTGGAGACCAAGTGGAGCCTTCTGCAGCAGCAGAAGACCTCTAGGAGCAACATGGACAACATGTTTGAGAGCTACATCAACAACCTGAGGCGGCAGCTGGACATGCTGAGTCAGGAGAAGTTGAAGTTGGAGGCAGAGCTGGGCAACATGCAGGGGCTGGTGGAGGACTTCAAGAATAAGTGAGCTACTCCCCTTCTCCCCACTGAGGTCGTCCTGCCTCAGAGGCCACAGTCCCTGTGGCCTTCTACTTCTGGGCAATGTTGTTGTTGTTAAGTTGGTTCTGACCCATAGCCACCCTGTTTAGGATTTCCGAGGAGCCGCTGATGAGCTTGAACCGCCGATCTTTCCGTTCAAACGGCTTTGCAGTCTGGCGCACTAACCCACAGCGCCACACCAGAACTCCAGTTATTAATAGTACCCCTCTCAGTGCCCAAACTGCCTGGCTATGGACAGTAAATTACACTAAACCCAAGATGGGAGAGACAGGTAGCCAATAGGCTCAATTGTATGTATCTGACCCTTACTTATTCATGACTCTTGATCTCCAGCAAACCCTAAAACATTCTCTCTGAGGCAATTCCAGTCCTCCCCACTAACTAATGATTGTATAGAGTGGGGGCAGGGAGAAGGTAGCCGGTTGGGGCAGAAGGATCGGTTCTCTTATATTCTACTTACATCCTTTATGACCTGAAATTTCTAGATAGTCATGTTCCATTTCCCGGCCCCTCCGCACAAAAGATCCAAGGCAACCTTGCCTTTGCCATCATCCTCTGATTCTCAGCTGTTTCCTCACCAGGTACGAGGATGAGATCAATAAGCGAACAGAGATGGAGAATGATTTTGTCCTCATCAAGAAGGTGAGGGAGTACCTATGTTTCCAATCAGACCCTAGAGGTTGGGCCTTAGAGACTCAGACTAAGAAGGCTTTTTGGGTTCTCTCCGTAACTGGGACAAGTTCATTGATTTCAACATTTGAATGTCTCCTAGGTACCTAGCATCGAAAGGTAGGGAAGGACAGGGGTAACTAGGTGTGTCTGGATAGCTGTTTGCATGTCAATGTTGGGGCACGAGGAATACAGTGGAACACTAGGACTGAAGGTCTGCCCATAAAAGACTTCCTAGAGGGGGAGAAGGAAGTAGATGTTGAGGTGCTGCAGGGGTGGGAGGAGTATGATGGGACAGACGACTGGACCCCAAGGTGGGGGTGGGGAAGACAGTTAGCTAGAAAGTCCTGAAGTCTAGGCCATTGGGTAGATTGTAGGGGTCCCTTAGGTTGGGCTTGGTTGTGGTTCTCATGCTGTTTCCTCACCCTCATCCCGCAGGATGTGGATGAAGCTTATATGAACAAGGTAGAGCTGGAGTCCCGCCTGGAAGGGCTGACCGATGAGATGAACTTTCTCCGGCAGCTGAATGCT